TGTGACCTCATATGAGGACATTATATTTTGGTGTATTTCTCTGAGACTATACATGCCACAGTTGTAAGTCTGGATGTCCTGTACAGAGCACATTCAGGGCTTTTCAGAGATACCAAATGTTTGGATGTTTCACTATGACCACTCCCTCTCCTTGGTCTTCAAATATGTCTGATATTAATTTAGTGACACTCTTATGGAAATATGATAATATTTTGTAATTATCATTTAAATCTGTCTCATTTTTAAACTGTCTGTCATAAATCAACATCTCAGGAAAATGTTAATGGGGTTTCAAATCAAAATATGACTTCCTCTTATGAAACAGAACATCATTTCATACTTGTCCACTGAAGAGGACACCTAAAAGCATGTTTATTACACATTTTGGGAGACAAAACAATTGAATAGGAAAACAAAATATATATCAATATTCTTATGAAATATTAGATGTAGGGCTGCACGATAAATCGCATGCGATATTTAATGCGCATCTTGTTAGTAAAGTCGGTTCTGTAATTAGCGTGCTTTCACATGGAGCAGCATTAACTACACAGAGCCGTTGTTCACTGACGAGCTGCGCTAAACCACGTTCATATTCGCGCGATTTTTTGCGCTTCTCATCAGTGAACAACGGCTCTGTGTAGTTAATGCTGCTCAATGTGAAAGCCCGCAGGTGATGGAGATTTACGCTGATTACAGAACCGGCTTTCTGACAAGATGCGCGTTAAATATCGCATGCGATTAATCGTGCAGCCCTATTGAAAACCAAAAGTAAATTAAGGGGATCATCGATCACTAAGAAGAATTGTGTCCAAACAACACAAAACTGCTCCTGTAAAGTGACAGCCTTGAAAACCCTGTTTCCACAAAAACAGACCAAGATGAACTTTAACATCTGCCCTTGCCAGACAAATCATGATAGATGACATTCAACTGGAGACTATTCAGAAGTTGTATGAATGTTCTAAGCTGTATTAAAGGCAAATTATTTTAAAACACCTTAAATAAATATTGCCAATTTCCCAGGTGTTTATATGATTTTGTCCAACCTCTGTATTTACCAACATATTGTATATTTTACTAAAACATTTTAAAATGTCTCATGAAGCTGTGAAAATGTCTGAATAAACTATTGGATCAGAGTTTTGAATTTGTTGAATTTCAATTAATCAATTCATTAAAAATGAACAGTTTAAACTGATTCAAGGAAACTAATTATTTTTGATATACTAAGGTTTAAACACTATTAAAACTTCTCCATTTTAAAACTCACACTCAAAGTGGAATTGAAACTAATAATTATCTAATGATGCGATCTTTATGAAACTTAATTCAACAGTAAATTCACAGCAATATTCATAACATGTCTATTGTAAATCGCAAGCAAAATCATCGCAAATACTGTATAAAATTAATATTCAACATATTGCTCAGCTCTACTACAGCTCCAACATGGCAAACGAATGCTCTATTACTGCAGCAGAAACCAATATTAACTAGAAAACTGCAACTACAGTAGTCCAAAATGTCTGCACTGTAAAGCCATCTTTATAATCAAAGTCCTTGAGGGAACTTCAATGCTTTCAGTCTCTTTATTAAACACCTATGGAGAACAAGAAATGCTCACAGCTGCAGCCTGATTCTGAATCCAGACTTTAATGACCACATCATGAACGCTGTTGAAGTGTTTTGTCTTCCTACATTTCATATCTTATCAGCGATAAACCACCACAGGCAATGTCAGATTGACAGACAGATTGACTTTAATTATAAACAAATACTGAAAGCAGAGATATCATAGCCTTACTTCCTGTGTTAATGTGTAGATATAAATAAACACGCAATCTGTGCAATCTGAAATATTAGTCATTCGGTTTTCAAAGCTAGAGCAACCAAGACAGCTAATGGGATTACAAATTGAAGCTGTGAAATCAAGAACTCACTGAGAAGCAGAACCTTTTCTCTCAATTGAAGAAAATTGCTGAGTCCATCTCTACCTGCCTTTCTACTGGTGAGGATTTCTGGAAGCCTAAATGTGAGTGGGCATGAAGCTAGGAAAATTGGGATATTTATAAAGAGCTTTGATTCTTTAGAATGTTTAGCACTGAAGAAAAAACTAATTAAACCTACTCACTTTTGCTCACTTGAAAACTTAATATTCAGCATTTGCATATTGCTCACATCTGCAAAAGCAGAAATGCTGTTGGTGAGAAGGTTTTTGTCACACCAAAAATAGGTGAATATAATGCTTGCATAATAGTCTCTATAGTAGAGCGTATGATTTCATTGTGGATTACTTGATAATTTTCACTCGGCAGAAAGTTCCGGCGCAGATGTTTCAACAGCCCTGCAGCCTGAGAGAGACAGTGAATAGCATGAAGCCTGCTGTTTTCTAGAGAGCTCACACAGCGTGTGCCGGATGAGCCCATTTGTATGAGAGGAGACAAACTCTAAGCCAAACTGCGGTACAGAAGATAACTAGTCATTTTCCTCATTGATGGATGTCCGAATAATCGGTGCACATGATTATTTAAGGAATCTGGAAGAATTACAGGCTAAAAATATTACCTATTAGTATGCATCTAATTCATTGAACTTAAAATTGAAAATTGTGTGACCTAATGCAATTAATTAAACTGCAACTTGACTGCAAGTTAATGAAATAGTTTGCATGAGCTGTGTTGATCAAAGTGAAGGGATCTACAACAAACACTCAAGAGTGGTTTTTGCATTTTCTCAGTTTTCGCTAGGAAAAAAAAAAAAAATCACACATGAGAAAACTGCCACCCTCATTGGTCTTTAAAAGGCATTTTTAAAGGAACATACTTTGATTGTTTGTTGTAATCTTGTTGGCAGAAGTATTATTGAATGGAAAGCGTCAAAGGCGTTCTTGGAGGGCATTTGTTTTAGGTGAGTTTCACTAAAGATTTACAACACGATAAAGCTTAAACTTGTAAAGAATGTTGTCTAACATGTTTCTATGACGGGTGTGCAACAGCTTGAAGCCACTTTTTCACCATCTCTGATCAACATACCATTCATTACCAATGGAGAATTGTATGGGAGCTGCATGGAGCTCCGATATTTATATGCAGAATTTTCATATTTAATCAAAACTGGTAGTGTGAGATAAGAACTATCAATATTTTCCACCAAATGTTATTCTTGAAACATTTCTTTGGGTGGTTATGATTAATTACCACAAAACTATTAACATCAATCATAAATAGAAATGTTTCTTGAGCACCAAATTAGATAATGACTGATAATTCAGTTTTTCCACCACAGGAATGAATTGCAGTTCAAAAATACATTACAACAGAAAACAGTTCTTTTACTTTATGTTTTTTTACTTTATTTTTTGTATAATGGTCTTGCAATTACTGAAATAAATGAACTTTTCCACGACATTCTAATTTATTGAGATACACCTGTATGTATAACTGCATGCAAGTTGTTACATGTTACAGTAGGTTAAGACAACACAGCATACTGTATAGGTGTTATGCAATTCCATTACCATATCAAATACCACTGACATTGGTATTTACCAGTTGTAAATACCACTGACACTGACACAGTACACAGTAATCAAAGACGCCTAATCCCACACAAGTGTCCCAGTAGAATGCAAAGCTCAAGTAGACAGATAAAGGGCGGACTTGATCTTAAATCAAAGACTAAGGGGTGGCTGCTGACCTGTACTGAGCTTGGAAGTGCTCTTGTACGAAACTGTGTCGAGTTCCAGGCTGCTGTGAGTTTGCTGGGCCAGGGCATGAACTCTCCTCCAATCCCACAGGACCCTGAGAGGTGCAAGCAGAAGGAATAAATGAAAAAATATATTTAGCAGTTTTTCACAGTGGATTTGGGATGTATAACTACAGTTTACATACGGAAAGTACAGATTATACATTGAAAGCACTGAGACTGACTGCAGAAAAATGTTTTAATGCAACCAGATTTATTTAGAAAAATACAGGCTGTGAATTACTATCTAACTGAGACAGATATAGCTACTGTCAAAACACTTATTTTCCATTCACAGAAATATGATCACTACACTATGGAGATATTGACACAAAACACATTGACATTCATAAAATTCCTTTGAATTATAGTTGAGTTTGGAGTTTTTTTTCTGTTGGGTGTTCTTGGCCTAGATTTCTTTGGACTTAGTATCTTTTCATTTTCTCCTCTTATGTGTAAATTTCAGCCCTAAATTATGCTGTTCATGTTTTTATCATTTTTGACTGCCTCTCAAGACACCTTGTCCAAGGAATAACACCAGTAAACACAGAGAAAGAAAACGAGAAGTTAAAAAAAGAAAGCATGCAAAGCAGTATTCCTGATTCAATTATTAGAATTATATAAGGACACAATGGATAAGTTCCTGAAAGGAGAGCGAAACTGGCTGAAAGCTCAGGTGTCATGAAAATTTAAAAAGGACATTGTTACGGTGACCGAGAAGTGCAAAGCAAATCACAATTCTTAAAACAAAATAACAAATTACAAACGCAAATGCAAGTCTAAAAAACAAAATAACAATTCAGAAAGCACAACAACAATTCAGAAAACATTATAACAAGTCAGAAAACACAATGACAAATTCGAAAACAAAATAACAAGTCAGAAAACACAACGACAAATCCGAAAACAAATTAACAAGCCAGAAAACACAACGACAAATCAGACAAACCGGAAAAGGTAGGTATAGTTTGAGACAGCGCCATTGGTTTGGGATTACTCACCGCTGACTGGACGAGACATCTGTCAATCAACGTATACAGGGAAGAACCAGCCAAAGAACAGCAGAGTCGTGGTAGAAAGTTCGGAGATGGTATTAAAGTAGCTCAGTTTAAATGTATTGTATGAATTGCCCTTACTTTGGAATAAAAAATATGGGGTGTCTATTTACATTTAGTCAAAAGTGGCTGTAAAACATCAGCTCCAGTGCCGCAGATGGATAAGCGCTTGTCGTTGG